ATTTTATTTAAAGAAATGGCGTGTCGTCTATTTCCGCTGTAGCAAACGCAGTACATAGGGCGACATCTAAATGTCATCTACCTCGCCCTATTCACTACAGATGTCGCCCTATGCACTATGCTTTTTTATAGGAACTTTTCCAAGCAAAGGTTTTATGGTGTCGGACACACAACATTGAAAGTTTCTGGATCCACAACATTGAAAGTTTCTGGACACACAACATTGCAAGTTGATAAAAGCGTTGTAAAAAGGGCTTAAAATTCTACGATTCATTACATATTATTCTTAATTAACTAAAAAGTAGTTAATCTGCAAAAAATGGAGAAAAAGTTTTATTCTTAACAGCGGTCGCCCCTCGGCAGGCAATGGCAAACCTCCGAGTGTATTTCTGCCATGAAAAACAGCTTCTCATAAAAATGCAATCTCCGTTCGGAGTCGGGACCCCCTCCCCTTTGTGTGACAACATCAAGGCGCACACCACAAACCGGAGGAGAAGCTTGGCCAAACACTAACATATGTGTAAGCACCAATCTATTATTATTATTATTATTAGTTAATCTTTAATATTCAGTAAAAAGTTATTATAAATGATTTTCTGTTATTAATAGAGCGCTTTTGGTTAGAGAGTGTTATTTGACAGTGTTTTGAGATACGAGGTTTTGCCAAAGCACCGTCGATATACTTTTTAAAGTTTTCAAGGTTTGGATATCAAATATTGGTCATTTGGTTAGCTTTAAAAAAATATTTTGGAAATAAATAAAAAAAAACTTAGATTTTAAAATTTAGGTGGCAACCCTATTTTGAAATACGCTGGAATGAATACCACATATCTTGGGCGTATATGTACTGTGTATACATACAAAAAAAATGCTAATTTAAATAAACAAAATAAAAATTCGTATTAGATACAAATATACAGGCGTATATTATAGGATCGAAAATATTTTTGTCCAAAGCTCTTAACAACACCTTTCATTTGATATCCATATTGCGATAATTTAGATAAATTGTGTAGAATTCCAAATAAGTGGCAACCTTACACTAATATCCTAGGGGATAACACTTAGTATATAAGGAAATCATTGCTTAATCTTTTCTTGGTACCCTGGAACTGCATTCTTAGAATTTTTCTAAAAAATCCGGAATAAAAAGATGCAAATTAGTATGCAAATTGATTGAATTTTCCTGAGTTTTGCACAAAGTTTGGAGATTCGATTTTTATGTTTTTTGGTGGAACCGTATTTTTATAAAAAATTATCGCAAGTAAATAAGAATAAAAAACTTTGCATATATTGCGAAAAATTCACAATACTTGTGTTCGTCACTGTATTTACATTAGAACGTTCGTTATTTAATTTTTTTTTTAATATACAGTTTTCCGGGCGGAAAAATATGTATTTTG